TATAATAACTGATAATAGTGTAGACCAGTGTTGTTTTGGGAGTATGTACAGCATAATGTTGACATTATTAAAAATTGTATGTTTATATTGTCTGACCGGATGTTTCACTTGTAGGAATGAAGAAGGAAGTTATTCTCCCAGGAAATATTAACAAGTCCACACTTCAACACATTTACTCATTAACAGAACAACCCTTCTCTTATTGACTTTCATTGTTAGTAATTGATCATGGTTTATTATCATTTGGAATCTTGTTTGAAGATCAGGGTGCGATAACTTTTTACTGAAATATGAACTATGAAGTCTAAAACTGACTTGTGGTATATATGGTGATGTCGGGCGGATTTTGGGCGTGTGGGGAAAAGTGTGTACCTAATTGCAACTCCTCCTACAGTTTTCAACACAGATCCTGGAAACTTCACAGGAGGATTGCACATATGTTGAAGTGTGCACCTGCTATTATGGAATTATTAAAGGATTTTTTTCTCATTTTTCCAGACTTGGGAACTTGGTCATTTTTCAACAAAATTTATGATAATAAAAGGGGGTACAAGTTTTATGTTATCAAATCCTCCTACAGTTTTCTACCCAAATCCCTGAACTATCACAGGAGGATTTCTCATATGTTGAAATTGTGCACCTGCTATTTTGGAATTGTTTGAGGAATTTTTAAAAAGAAGTTTGAATTTTGCAATCTTTAGACTATAAAATGCCTGTAAATATTCATGATATTATAATGATTTTACACTTTAACCTTTGTCATATTTAATTATTATTTTTAAGCTAAAATTAAAATAACCTAGTTTTGTAGTTCAATGTTCTTCATATTTGCAGTCTGAAAATGACTCTTAGCACGTCTTCCCCTTGTATATTGTATGTTGTCAGAAACATCATTTAAATTGTCATAGCAACAAATTGACATATTCAAGGGTGACCAGGGAATAGAATAATGGTCACTTTTAGGTTCTTCAATTCCACAGTAAAACCTTTGCCATAGTGGGGAGTCTGTTTGGCTGTGCAGGATGTTCAAGAAGACAACCAAGTCTAGTCAGAATGTGGATGTTAAAATCTGATGCCTCGTGTAAAGAGAGTGAGAAGCTCTCTGCACGTGAAGAACATTTGCAACAACTCTTTGAGGGTTCTGTAGATGGACTCTATCCCTAGCCAATGTACCCTTATTTTCCAAATTTCCCTGACCTTAATTCATGCCTAGTCTCTATAACAGGACCTTCCTGTTGTATTTATTGTTAATTTTGTTCTCGTCTTGAACATGCATGAAATATTTGCCATTGGGCATAATGTAACCAACAATCAATCAATCTTTTAAAGGGAAATCTCCTTTAGCACATTTGAATGAAAGATATTTATTTGGCCATTATTTGTCTCAGCAAAAGAAGTGCCATAAGATAAAAAAAAAGGGGGTGTTTTCATTAATTTTGATTTGTAGCATTTAGTTTTCATCAAATTTTGATGCAGTTTTCCCCTGAATTCTTTATAAAGAGCCTACTTTGTTTGTCATATATATGTTTGGTTTATTAAGACTTTCTGATTTCAGAAATATTAGGAACCAGTTTTGGATAAACACCCTAAATTTCAATCATAGGAATTTTACTCTTATTTTGATGTTACTATTTTTTAGTGAAGTCCTTTTGAAAATACTTGCTTACATTTTATCAAACAAGCTGATTCAGTTTGTGTGGTTTCTGATCTTAATTGGCAAAAATCTTATTCATCCTTTTTTTTACTGATATCCTATTAACTCGTGACAAGACTTTTAGACAGTACATGCCTTTGGATTTTTCAAAGGATAATGTCTATATTATCAGCATCCAAATTTTCAACTTTTATGTCTGTGTTTGTTTTTTTAAACTACAGTCTTGTGTCAAAAGTGTTTCACCTATCAGAAATTTCCCTATAATTTCATTTAAAGGGGCATTAGCTATCAAATTCATGTTCACCGATTTGACTCAAATTCTAATATTTGATTTATAACATACTAAAACGTATATCCAAATTACAATAAGTCTGAAATAAACAGTTAACAATGCATGTACTCAATAATATATATCAGCATTTTGTGTGTATTTTAGTCTAGCCACCATCTAATAAATTATCGAGATGACCTCCGAAGACTGCCGATGGTCACATAACCCAATATAAACATAAACAAGGATATAAATAGATAGTGACCTTGTGCAATTGGACTTTTCTAGGTCTGTTTGATTTCATGTTATAGGTTAAAAAATTAATTTCATCATCATTTTTACCTGTATAAGAATGATTTTTTGTGAATTCAGTCAACGAAATGATTTACCTTTGTTTCACTTTTAATGTTGACATTCTTTTCCTTTTAATGGAGCCACTGGACATTAAGCAACCAACAACCAACCTTTTAATGGCTGAACACGACTAATACATGTGTAACCAATCTGTAGCTAATGGATTGAATTATAGGTCACATGAATACGGATTCAATGAGTTCGAATTATTCACTTGCAAGTGAATAATTCATCAGCGATGTTTCTTTGCTTATTTTGACAAATTTGAACCAAATTGGCTGCTAAAAGCGAATTATTATTTCATTATTTCACTTTTGTCAATGATTGAACAAAACAAAATCATATTCTAATTTTTTGCATATCTCGTAGCTAATGCCCCTTTAAAAACATTTTAAATAAAAATTCTACTGAAAATATTTTTTGTCTAAATTGAATGAATTTTTGTTCATTTGGTACAGAAATATCTACTGCAATAATTATGAAAAATATTTATGATTCATATTTTTAGGAATTTCACTGTTTAAAGAAAAACATGAATTTCTGCACGAAAAATTCATATGGCTATGTAGGAAAAATGACCCTTTATTTCAATATTTGTATACAAATAATGATTTCTCAGTAACCGTAAAAAAAACTGTACACATTTATGAGTTTAGAAATTTCATCAAAATGGAATCTCAAATTAGTTTTTGACAATGCTTTGGAAAAACTTGTTTTTGAAATAATGGGGGAATTTGGAATAGGTGAAACTTGGAATTTTAGATATTTCAGATGGTCAGTGTGACAAGAACAAACCAAAAAAGGCTAACTTCTTAAATGCACCAGAACTTTACTGAAAAAAAATTTAATACCCAACACAAATATTTATAACTAAGAAGAACTAATGATTCCATGAAGTGTATTAAATCAGATGATTTCCTTTTTCCTATGATATCATTGTCATACAGGAAAGAATTATGTGATATATATTGAAAATAGAGCATCCTGTATATTTTTATGCATCAGGATATTATTAATTAGATCAAGTTCATAAACTGGGAACTCGGTTTTACGAGATCCATCTATAAGGACAGTGAATTTATATTTTCCTTAAAAAGAGATATTTTTTAATAAAAAAAGATCATTTAAGCCTTTCTGAAGTGTTGTGAGAGTTCAGCTTAACATTCATTCACATTCTATTTGTATCATTTGAAAGATGATTGTTTGTAATATATAATGAAATGTCCTCATTGACCATTGGTTTAAAAATAGTCCACCTTCATTCCCCCAGTAGTCAATCATACAAAGATGCTGTTTAACACTTCAAAATGATAAATTGATCATCAATAAAGTATGAAAAAATTTGAAATAAGACTCAAAGAATGAAATACAGTTTTACTTATAGAATTTTGTTTGTCTCAATATAACCCACTCAATTAATAGACCTTGATAAACATATCTCTTGATAGATAAATCCTTGTTAAATTCCTAATAATTTATTGGTGATGCATATCCTAGGTTTGATGAATGGTGGTAATTATCCAATTTAAAGGCCTTGGTAGATATAACATTTGGTTGAGAAAAATAAGCTTGAATATATCTAATTGAAAGTCCTTGGTAAATATGAATAAAGAATATGGTGGGAAAATCTTTGTATACACCTTATTAACATATTGAATGGACCATTATAATTTTTTGGATTAACAACTCCAAGTATCAACCAAATCAAAAGTTTTTGGTAAAAATGTCCTTAGATCAATAAATGCTTGTAACCAAGCCAATTAAAAGTCCTTAGTATATATTTCATTGGGTCAATAAATCCTATACATCCAATCAGATGTCTTTGGTAGATTTATCCATGGGTTAATAAATCCTATACATCCAATCAGATGTCTTTGGTAGATTTATCTGTGGGTTAATAAATCCTATACATCCAATCAGATGTTTTTGGTAGGTTTATCTGTGGGTTAATAAATCCTATACATCCAATCAGATGTCTTTGGTAGATTTATCTGTGGGTTAATAAATCCTATACATCCAATCAGATGTTCTTAGGTAAATGCTGATAATTTTGCCATTTTTAGTTGGACTGATTGTTTTGTAGCGATAGAAACAATGCTTTTGCTATTGCATTTTGTTTTGTTTTTTTTGCAGAAAAGTTTCTTTTCTATTACTGTTAGATATTTGTGGAAGTGATGAACATCATATATTCTTCTAGAAATGTTAAGGACACCCTTCTTTAAATATTATTATAAGATTCAATAAGAAAATCAATGTCTTATTAACACTTGACCTGAAGATACACACTTTTTGTTTCAATTTTGAATGATTGATTTCTATAGTTTTCTGTAGGGAGTTTTATTGTTGTTCATTGACAGACACACATCTAAAATCCACAACTCTTCCATTACAACTTAACAGAACAACCTAAGTATTGTATAGACTCTTGTCTGTTGTTGACCTCTATATGGCTTTTGGATATTTTTGTTGTTGGGTTGCATTTCATTGATGTTTCTCTTACATCGCCTTTTATGCATCTTAAACTTCCAAATAATGTGGATCAGATACTGTAGGTTAACTCCTGTTATTTTGACCATCTATTTTTCTGAGGTTTAGTTTACTACCAAACTAGAGTAAGCAATTAAATGTACCAAGTTTTAAGGCTAGTAGAAGCAACAAAATATTTCATTGTCTGTGTTCATGATTAAAAAAAAGTCATCTGTTATTTTTTTATCTTTACAGGTAATGCCAAAACAGTAAGAAATGACAACTCTAGTCGTTTTGGAAAATTTATGCAAGTGTGTTTTGATGATTCTTCACAAATTAAAGGATGTATTGTACAAGACTACTTACTGGAACAGTCCAGGATTACATTCCAATCCAAAAATGAACGCAACTACCATGTCTTTTATCAGTTTATTGCTGGTGCTGATGCAAGTGCTGAATTCAGGGAACAGTTTTTTGTTCAGCCTATAAATACTTATTTTTATTTAAACCAGAGTGGATGTACAACTTTAAATGGCGTTAATGATACAAAAATGTTTGATAGATTACGATTAGCTATGAATGTGTTAAAAATTCCAGATCAGATGGTGGATGGAATATTTTCTGTGATTTCCGCAATATTGCATTTAGGTAATTTGACGTTTGAAGATGTAGAAGGAGAAAAAAGTGATTTGACATCAAAGGATAAGGAGATATTAGACATGATTTGTATGTTATTAGGATTTGAAGCAGAACCATTAACAGATTCTCTTTTATATAGACAAATTCAGGTTCGGGGAACAGTCACAAGCATTCCATTTAAAGTGCAAGAGGTATGTATTAAAACTACTGGATATCACTTGTTTGGTGTACAAAATGATTGAATGATGTACATGTCTGTCCTACAGGGTTTCCCTGAGCTTGACCTGAAATTGATAATACTTTAATCAGTGTTCAGTTTTTGTGATTTGGTCAGTTTCTGAGATATTGTTGGTAATAGTTCAACTATATAAGATGTACATGTCTGTTCTGTACAGGGTTCATCCAACCTTGATCTCATTTGCATGATTCACTAGTCAAGGTTAAGTTTCCTTGTTTAGGTCAGTTTCTAGGATATTGTAGGAAATAGGTCAAGACCAGTGCTACAGGCGTCTTGAACTTGCAGTGGGATGAGAGATTTTTCTCCAAGTGGAAGGCCCCAGTGACTTCGATGAGAACAGCGATAACGGCACTATTCCTTTGCTTTTAGTTTTTTCATGTGTGCCTAGTGATTTTGTATCTAGAATTGATACACTACATCTTTTCTTTTCTATTCCAACTTAATATGTACATAGAATGATTTTAAGGTGCACATGTCCTTCTGACAGAATTCATCTGACATTCACATCATTTTCATTGTTGAAGATTCCCTAGTCAACACTAAGATTTCATGATTAGGTTAGTTTCTCAAATGTTCCAGGTAATAGATCAAATATATATATGGCGTATAAAATGATGGTAATGTGTACTAGTCCGTCTGACAGAGTTCTTCTTACCTTGACCTCATTTCAATGGGGGGCTTCAGTAGCCAAATGATCTAAGTAGTTGATCTACATTGAGGTTGTGAATTCGAACCCACATGTGGCAGTTCAACCTTATCTTTGTTGACTAGGATTGCCAGCTTTCCTGCTTAAAGTCTGTGGTTTTCTCTTGACAAGCAGGCTTTCTTCCTGTAAGAAAAACAGTGCTGACAGTGGTGTTAAACACCAACAATCAATTAATCATTTTAATGCTTTTATGAGTAGGTGAGTCTCTCAGATATTGTAGGTACATGTTATATTGATTGATTGTTTGCTTTATGTCCAGTGGCAAATATCTTGAGGTAATAGATCAACTATATATATATATATGGTGAATAAAATGCATGTCATTCTGACAAGGATCATTTGACCTTGACCTCATTTTCATGGTTCTGTAGTGAACATTAAGTTTTCATGACAAGGTAATGTAGGCCAGTTTCTCAGATATTGTAGATATTTAAAACAGATCTACTACATACTAGGCCACCGAAAGCTGAATTTTTGTTCAGTCTAGGTGGCCAAGTGGTCTAGAGCGCTGGACACAGTGCAGGCGGTGTTGTCTCGATATCCTAATAGCACGAGTTCAAATCCCGGCGAGGGAAGAACAAAAATTTGCTTCTGCAAATTTGCAGATTTAACATTGTTGAGTTGATATTAAGAGTAATTATATATATATATATATATAAACAAGTCTAAATTGAGAACAACGTTCAAACCTAAGATTGCGTTTGATAAAAACCGCAATTTTTATATGTGTGCATGCAAAACAAATTTCTTGGTAGAGGGGTCTAATTAAATACAGCACAAGCAACATTTTCCAAAAGACCAAAAAAGTGAGAAAGTATATTTTAACAAAACACATTTGACTAGCAGGTCGAACAACGGATGTTCTTAAACCCTGCTGACTGCCATTGGCGATTGCCAAATAAACGGATCACCAGATGTAACAAAATGGATCTTAGCTATTAATTTAAAACCAAACATAAAAAACAATAAACTTAATGAAAAGATGGTATACCACAAACAATAGGTGCAAAAATTAGTACACCATATCCGGATTTCAAAAATTAATGTCTCTTCAGTGATGTTAGGAATCGAAACATATATGGTGTAAACAATAAGTTTTTATGAGTCAGTTACTCTGTCAGATATTGTAGGTAATTAGTTAAGTTTACATGATATATAGGAAGAATGTAATGTGTATATGTTTGTCTAGCAGGGTTCATCTAACCTTGACCTCATTTTCATTATTTCATAGATCGATCATTGATTATAGCTTAGCCTTTGTGTGATAACTGTAGACATACATGTAGTACTCAAAGAATTTCATTTAACATGTTTAAACAGTGTGTACTCTTGTTGAATTTTGAATTTCTTACTTTTCTCCCTCTTAGAATAAAAGTAAGACTTATTATTATTATCTTAGTTGTAAAAATGTACCTCAAGAAGGAGGATTCAGGCACTTTGTTATCTATCATTCCATTTAATTTTCTCCCTGAACAAAGCCTACAGACTTGTGACGCTGATTCTTTTAAATGAATCCCTTTATAAAAGTAAATAAGTTTCTACATTTCTCACAGGAACAACCTAATGGTATAGATATGGAATCCCATGCTTGAAAAGTTATTATTCATAGTTTGCAAATGTCTTTTTTTCGTTTTAGGCAAGTGAAAATCGACATGCCATGGCCAAAGCCTTATACTCCAGATCATTTGCATGGCTTGTAGATGCTATCAATAAATGTACGAATCCAGGGCAACATGAATCAAGATTTTTAGGAGTTTTGGATATATTTGGATTTGAGAACTTTGAGGTATATTTATCATGTTTATTGTAACTTTTTTCTCAGATTATAGAAATAAGTAATAGACATAAACATTTCATGTACAATTTAGCTTTTATTTGATATCTTTCTTTGATTTTAAGTTTAGTCTATGTAGAAGTAAATTTTCCATGCTAATCAGTATCCAAAATCTATGTCAAATTATACATCTTACAAAAGTTGTTAAATAACCATGTTGAATTACTCATTTTCATAAAAAGATGGGTATTGTTTCCTTGGACCCTATCATGACAAGATACTGATCATAAGGCTTTACACTGGTGGTAGTCTTACAACTTTTTAAGTACAGAATGAGTAGCATTTGGTGCATTATAACTGAAGTAAGGCATAACTTGTTGTGAACACATCAATCAGAGGTTATTAATTAGGTCATAAATTGTCAAGTATGACATCTTTATTTTAAGGTTACACATTTCAAGTATGTTGTATAACATTATAGGAAAATGTCCCTGAAAATACTTAGTGATAATTAACTTACATGGCCTGATTGGCAAGTGTGAGCTTCTGGCATCACTTTATTCTTTTAAAAAAATAACTTGAAGACCATAGGGTTAAATTGGAACAAAACTTGGCCATAATCATTGTTAAAGATTAATTTGTTTCAATGGTATATTTGGATCTTTTGGGTTTGAATTGATGAAGTTCTCTCAAAGAAAAAGCTTTTCAGTAAAAGTTTGGCATTTATCATTGCTTTGAAATTTATATGTAAACATGATTTGAGTGATTATCATGTGAGCTGTTCAGGCTCCTTGATTGATTGATGTTTGCTTTACGCAGCATCAGTGCAGCTAGAACCCAGCAAAGGCTTCTTGAAGCCTCTTGTCAAGTCACTCTGTTAATAGAAATAACGTCAGTTATAACGTCTCATTCAGGTGCGGATCCAGAATTTTTAAAGGGGGGGGGGGGGGGGGGGGGTGGCATGGGCCCCCAAACTAGACAAAATTTGTAGTGGAACAAATCTAGATTAACCATAAATGAAGCTCCATAAGGGAGGGGGCAGGCAATATTTCAATTTTCCTTAACTTTGTGACACAGGTTTCTGCCTGTCGCTTTTCTTTGGATATTGTCTACAAAAATATCAGAGGATGCAGTTACAGGAAAGAACAGATTCATTCAGAACAGAACTCTAATGTACTTAACTTAGTACAAGAATGTTACACAGCATGATACCAATAGAATGTTCTAGTCTGATAAGTTAAAATGTATATCTGATTTATCTGATGATTGATAAACCTGCAAAGAAACATATTAATCCATGATAGGTATCTGAACAAAATATTTATTCACAGTAAGAAATTGGGCAGTGGTTTGTGGGGTGTTCACTGTGTAAAGGTTTATATATAATAATTTTATTACATTATTTATTTAAATAATTACTATTTGCAAAAATTATGTAAGCAGATCTCCTTTGGAAAATGTGTTTAAGTTATCACTCATCAGAAGTAATCTTGAAAATGAAAAGAATTTGCACCAGGGTTTAATATCAGATATTTAGCTCATACTTTAGCCCCAAAGCATGTTTGTTTCTGACTTCACTTTACAGGTACATATATCTTACCCATATAATTAAGTAGCTGACAGATTACATGTGAAATATAAAAATAAAAATTTGTTTTAATAATGTTTAAGTTTTAGTAAGTTGGAAGTTTACCATTGTTAACGTAAATCATATCTGGAGGGGATGATGGTTGACATGTACATTTTTGTTATTTTCTATTTTTCTTTAATTTGCTGTCCTTTTTTTTTTTTGCTATAAACAAAACATAGAATATCAGAATGTAAATAATGTCTGTAATTCATCTGTGGTCAGATAAACATATAATACAATAATTAGCTTGATATTTCTATATAACTTTCAATGGTGGTTGTAAGTAATTTTATCTGCAAATTACACCTATAAGGGTCAATCAAAAATACACAAAATATAACACAACAGTCAAGAATTACAAGTTTAAACATAAACCCAAAAAGTGGTAATGTTAATGTAACTTTTGATGGACATGGACTTCATTTTCGCAAAGATTGCTTTTTAAAGGCACCAACTGGTGACAAAAGTTCAGATTCAGGATTTAAAAGCTGTTTTAGCTTGAACAGTGGTTGAGAATTTGTAAAACCAGGTTAATAAAGAATAACTGATGTCTAAAAATTGATTGATTGATTGATTGGTGTTTAATGCCACTTTCAGCACTATTGTGCTATTTTGTGGCGGTCAGTTTTTATTGGTGGAGGAAGCAGAAGTGCCAAGAGAGAACCACTGACCTTCGGTAGGAAAACTGACAATCCTAGTCAATTAAGACTTACTACCTCAGTGTTGACAGGCTTGTAATACAGTAGTTCAACCACTTAGACCACTGGGCACTGAGGACCTCTTATAGTTGAGTTCAGTTTACTATCTAGAAAAAAAAAAATGATATTCATCATCAAGTTTATTACAAAATTTACATATGATAACCTTTAGTCTCTGGGTATATTATTATATCTTCCCATTTTAACTTCTAGGTTATGGTCTCTTACCTGAAATTTTGATATTCATTGTCTGGTTTTAAAGGAGTAGGGGCATTAAGGCACATACTGTTTGGAAATGCATAGAGTCAGGAAATATAAATGAAAAACATAAGATTTTTTATCTGATGACGTCACAATTACGTCATAATATGTACCGTTTCATGAAAGAGATGAAAAATACAGAATTTATGCAGTTTTCCACCTTTAATTCCATTGTGGAAACATCGTGCGCAGCAAAGAAACATCAAAATAATTCAAGAGAAGCTTTATTATAACTGTTGACATAATCTCACCAAATATAAAGTTGTTCTTGTGTGTGCACATACTTTGCCAATCTAAAATATACTTAAAAGTTGATTACAAACAAGGAAAATCAAGAAATTTTACCAAATATACAAGTTTCGTCATGATTTGTTGTCATGGTAACTCGTTAAACGTGAAATTTGTTTTTATTTTCTGAATACCTGGTACCCTGGGAACAGTATATCTAATATATAGTCAATATATATGTTCCTGCTGGTACCTTAGTCTAGTTATGACAAATTTAAGAATATGTATGATAACTTTTAAATTTGCAGTAATATTTGGGCCAAATAAGGGCCTTATTCCCCCTACTCCTTTGATTTATTTGATAAGTAGTCCTCTATTTTTATCTCACATTTTATTTGGCTGTAAAGAAATAATTTTGAACTGTCCATTATAGAAGAAAGTTTATTTAAGACATCATGTGATATCTGTTTAAACATCGTCTTTAAGGAATATTTAATTTTGCTATATATATAGTTTATCAGAAGTGTAAAAATCTGCATCATCTAATCCGGCCTTACTAAATATATTTAGAGCTAAACTATACCAACTATGAATACCATCATTATGCAGGAAGTTTTTTAATTCATAGGCTTCTTTAAACAGAGGATTAATATCATGGGTATGAAATCTACAGAACTATAACATAACTTGTGGTTTAAGAAATGAAGCCATAGAAAGTCTGCCCAGTTCTGTTTAGGCTGAAATATTACAAGTGTTTTTTTAGTCCTAGGACAGATTTACAGTATTTATTATGAGTTATTTCATAGCAAAATTTATCTTCTAAAGACAAAGTATGATCAGTTATTTCGTATTGCCCTCAACCTGGTTACAAAAGTCACTTTTACAGTTTGACAAAATTTCCAAATATGTCAAGTGACTGTGTAACATTAGAGTACTATATTTCACTTTACAAATTAAAAATTATCCATAAAGTATTTTTAATGTCTAAATTGCATGTATATGGTCATATATTATCCTCGTTAAAGATTATGAAGATTTTATTTCACTTTTTATTAAAAAAAAATTAGCGCAAAACTATACCTTTTTTTACCCAGAACTTATAACCCCCATTTCAAATAACTGTTCAACAGTAACCCATTATGTTTGTTTTTTTAATAAATATTTTTTATCAATATTAGTTGTATATTGAATATTAATATAATTTATAGGTTATTGATATGGTGATTAGCAACAAGAGTAAAGCTCTGGCGAATACTTTAGCTTCCTTATATTATATAGCAGTGATTAAGCAGATGTAGCTTTTATCTCATTTCAGATAAACAGTTTTGAACAGCTCTGCATTAACTATACCAACGAAAAGTTGCACAGATTCTTCAATCATTATGTATTTGCTATAGAACAGGAAATAGTAAGTGAAAAGATAAGGTGTTTCTTTGATCTGGTGGTAATTTAAAATATGTACTGTCAAATAAAAACCACAGGTTATACAGGGCTGTGGTTTTATGATGTAAATGTATATTCCCAAATATACCTTAATTCAAAATAGACAAAAATTTATTATCAATAACAACAAAAATATAGTAGGTTATTTTTTGGCACACCTGTGTTGAAAAAGTTTTTTTAGACTTCAACCATTACTTACAAACTATTGATAAGTAAAAAAAAAACAGAAAAACAAATGCATGAAATATTCATGACAAAAATATTGATTTTTAGCTTTCTAAAAATGTTTAATTGAAAAGGTGAAAAGTTCAAAAACTTAGGTACAGTAGAGTTATTCCTCTTTGAATTATACACATTTATATAGTTATCATATCTTAAGTCACTGTAAAATATCAACTTCTTTGTTCATTATAACAACAATTTCTTTCTTATATAACCTCTCACCAAAACTGTCTGTATTATTTAAATACAGTCTCTCAGTTGATTGGGTATAATATGGGTGGTAAAATTGAGCCTAAAAAATAAATGTTTTTTTTTTTTTCAAATTTGCAAAATGAAACTTTGAATCTTTGTACTTAATAAAACATTGAAGTATTGTTTGAAATAGTTTCCTTCTAATGGGTTATATAGCCTTCAACATGTGCAAATGAGATTGAATTCAGTGAAATTGTGAATTTTCTGCTTAAAACTGTCACTTCTTCCTTATGACATGTACTTTCATTTTCTGAAAAACAATCATTTTTTTACTATCTGGTGAATTATCAGAATGCATGACCAAATAAGCCTTAAAATTTTACCTTCTCCTTTGTATAACTGTTGAACCTAAGAAGCTGTTCAATAATCGCATTCATTATATTTGTTCTCAAATGTGAAAATTCTAGAATATTTTCTGTAATTAATGTAAATTTGCCTGCCATTACAAGGAATAATAGACTTCCAAATATATTATTTTTAAAGTAATAGATAAAAAAAATATGATTTGTTTTCATGACAAGGTCAAATGAGGTAAAGCATATTAAATGAGTAAATTATTATAAAAAAAGAATACTTATATCAGTTGGATAGTAAGCATGCATAATTACATCCATCCACAACAAATCATGTTAGGTCTCTTATTTTCAAACCCCTTGAAGTAGGGTAATAAAACCTGGCATGATTATTCACAACTACTAGAAGGTGTGTTGCAAATAAGGAAGAAAAACCATACAGTGAAAGTCATGGTAAAAATTAGTTCAACTTAGTCACCCTTGTATAGACATGTATGTTCAAAAACCAGTTCCACTCTAACTTTCAAACCCCTTTGAGTTGGGTAATGAAACTATGCATGATTATTTACCACTACTAAAAGGTGTGTAAGGTACAAGGAAGAAAATCCTATAATAAAAGCCATGGTAAAAAACCTAATTCAACTGAGCCAACCCTGTGCATATGTACAAAAATTGTTTCATCACTTCCTTAAAATCCCTTGGGGTTTGGTGAGGAATTAGTGGTGCATCAGAAAATTTGCCCTCAGTGGGTTTAAGCTATGTTTATATTAAATAACATTCACTACTTTTGAGAAGAGTTCTTATTTGCATCTCAATTTACTTGGCTCCCAACGCTATCCTCTAGTTAAGTCTCCCAAACGAAGTTTGGGAAGACTTATTGTTTTTGCTCAGTTCTTATTATTATTATTATTCTTCTTCCTCTTCCTCTTCCTCTTTCTCTTCCGCCGCTTTTAAATTTGAACTTGTCCGCACCCGTTCTCCAAAACCGCTTGTCAGATGAACTTGGGGTTTCACAATATGTTAGACTAACATGTCTAGTGGTGCAATCAGGGTTTTGTTTGTGCAATGGGGTTTATTAAGGGGTACTTTGAGGGGCAAAAAGAAAAGAGGGTTTTACTATAGAACCCTATGGGATTTTATTTTTTTAAATTTTCAAATGATTATAAATTGAAAACCGTTTGTAATAGACACAATCTTTTTAATTGAAAATGTTCTAAATGATAAAACCCATTAAATGAAATACAGGGTTAGTCCCCAAGGGTCATCCCCACCCCCTGCCATTTAAGAAAGTTCTAATACCTTGTAAGTGGTCAAGATCCCCACCCCTAAAACATATATATTCTGGTTTGTCATGCTAAGATGGTTTGAATGATATACAGGGTTAGTCCCCAGGGGTCATCCCGACCCCCTGCCATTTGAGAAAGTTCTAATATCTTGTAAATGGTCGAGATCCCCACCCCTAAACCATATATATTCTGGTTTATCATGCTAAGATGGTTTGAATGATATACAGGGTTAGTCCCCAGGGGTCATCCCGACCCCCTGCCATTTGAGAAAGTTCTAATATCTTGTAAATGGTCGAGATCCCCACCCCTAAACTATATATATTCTGGTTTGTCATGCTAAGATGGTTTGAATGATATACAGGGTTAGTCCCCAGGGGTCATCCCGACCCCCTGCCATTTGAGAAAGTTCTAATATCTTGTAAGTGGTCAAGATCCCCACCCCTAAACCATATATATTCTCGTTTGTCATGCTAAGATGGTTTGAATAATATACAGGGTTAGTCCCCAGGGGTCATCCCGACCCTCTGCCATTTGAGAAAGGTCTAATATCTTGTAAATGGTCGAGATCCCAACCCCTAAACCATATATATTCTGGTTTGTCATGATAAAGCACATGAAATGAAATACAGGGTAAGTCCCCAGGGGTCACCCCCACCCCATGCCATTTGAGAAAGTTCTAATATCTTGTAAGTGGTCAAGATCCCCACCCCTAAACCATATATATTCTCGTTTGTCATGCTAAGATGGTTTGAATAATATACAGGGTTAGTCCCCAGGGGTCATCCCGACCCCCTGCCATTTGAGAAAGTTCTAATATCTTGTAAATGGTCGAGATCCCCACCCCTAAACCATATATATTCTGGTTTGTCATGATAAAGCAAATCAAATGAAATACAGGGTTAGTCCCCAGGGGTCACCCCCACCCCATGCCATTTAAGAAAGTTCTCATATCTTGTAAGTGGTCAAGATCCCCACCCCTAAACCATATATATTCTCGTTTGTCATGCTAAGATGGTTTGAATGATATACAGGGTTAGTCCCCAGGGGTCATCCTGACCCCCTGCCATTTGAAAAAGTTCTAATATCTTGTAAATGGTCGAGATCCCCACCCCTAAACCATATATATTCTGGTTTGTCATGCCAAGATGATTTGAATGATATATAAAGGGTTAGTCCCCAGGCATCACTAATGCATATAACTTTACTGGACCAAACTAATTTTCACTGGACTTTGCCGAATGTCAGGCGACCCTGGGAATTACGAATTATGGGAGCTTCGTTTGGGAGACTTCGTAACAGCATCCTGTTACAATCATTTCTTGTTACCATAGAAGTTGTTTTAAATGATGTGACCCACTGTCAGCTTTTGCCATTATGTGTCATCTATCCTCCGTCATGGTCCATTGTCATGATTGTTGTCATTGTAAATTAAATTTTACAAAAATCTCCTTTAAAACAACCTGGCAAATTAAAACCAAACTTGGCCACAATCATCCTTGGTGTGTCTTGCTAATGTGTCTGATGATCCTGTCTGCCAACCAACATGGCTACCAAAACTAAAAATTAAAATATAGATATAAAATGCTAGAAGATCTACCTACGGTCTATTTTTACCAAACTTGTCAGACAAATTCTTATTGGAGTTGTTGTCCTTAATTGACAATTTTTGTGTTTTGTGCAGAAATTATATAAGATGGAGTAAAGTTGTAAATAACGAAATTACATGTAGTTGTACAAATAAGTCAAATACAATGTAGCTGAAATAGGAGTTATTGCTCTTGAATTATGATTTTTTACCCAATTTTTGTGTCATTTGTTGAAAATATACACGATCAACAAAAAAGATATTTTAGTCATGAATTATATTTTAGTCTACTATGTTGGAGAATGGCTATTGTTGAAGATGCACATAGATCAAGATGAGTGACAAAGACTTTTTAAAGCCTCCATTTTAGCTTTCTTTTTATTTTCTTAAATGTTTACTGTTTCCCTTTCAGTATAAAGAAGAAGAAATAGAGTTTGCACACATCACATTCACTGATAATTCACCATGTTTAGAGCTCATCGAAAAGGTTTGTTTTTATTGTATACAATTTAACATTTTTTCAGAATTAATTGATTTTTAAACAGTTCTAAATTAAAGTAGAATGTTTTATTCTTATTTCAATTATGTATGGGATATGTACACATTCCTTTTGTTATACCAAAATACCCTTGAAATTGACAATAGAATAAAATAAAATGAAGAAAATCTAATTTGGCATAAAAATAGACATATTTTAAAGTAAAGCACACTTTTTGTTTATATATATATATATATATATATATATATATATATATATATATATATATAAATGGGATTATGATGCTTACTGTTTTGTTGTACCTTACATGGAAACCAAGAACAAAGAGCTTTATTTTAGTATTAACAACATACTTGTGAAAGTATTTTAGTATTAACAACATACTTGTGAAAGGAAAACAATATGAACTAAAGGACAAATAAACCTGGAGTTGCTTCAAAACATACACTGTACTTATAATTTATAGGTTTGACATGTTACTTAGTTTGAAACTATCTTTTGTAAGATATTCCTTCTGCACAACAAGAGTTTTACAGCCAATCTTCATCAATGCTTGGTATAATAAGGTAATGTTAAGTCCTATTGAATAATCTGGATACAATTAGACATAAAAATCCCTAAAGCATTTTCAACTTGCAAGTTATACTATTGCAGGCAAATAACAATGAAAACATTATCGACCTGCCAGCCTTTGTAGGACAATACAATACTAGTTTTAAGGATGAAGATTATACTGAATTGTGTGATTTTTATGTATGCATCATATATTACAAATTAAACAGTTTTATTTTTTATTTTTCAGTCCCCAAGATGTATCTTAAAAAGTGTAGATGAAGAATGTAGATTTCCTCAGGTAAGAGCATTAGATGTAGACAATTTTTTGTTTTTTTAATGTGATGGATTTAAGTGCAATTTGTTTTATTTTGATATGTCTTTTGCCCATCCACATATATGTTACTTTGGTTTTTTTTTTTTCAAGAGAAATATTCAAAGCAAAATATTGATAATTTATTCTGAAATTTGACTTTGACAAAGAAAAAGATTTCATTTATGTGAATTGCCTCCAGACATAAATATAAGAAACTTAATTAAGTTATTCCCAACAAATATTTATTGGAATTTAAAATATTTAATCATAATATCTATGAAAAGTATTAGCCCAGGAAAGAAACTAACATTGAATGTCTAAAACTTAACTAGCCATAATGAGAGCAATTGGGACACCACAGAAACCCCATGATTTGTTAAAGAGGTAGAATGAGCATTCACAGTTGAAATTTCCAGGTTTTTGCATAAGAAAAATTACTGTTTGTCATTGAATATATTGTACTATTTTCTTGATCTAACCATTCCTTGTATGGAAGAGCTGCTTTAATGCCTGCTTGAATGTAAGCTAAATAGTTTTTGTATTTACTCACTTTGAAAATAAGCTATAGATTTTTTTAGTTTTCATTTACAGAGGTTTTGTTATTCATTTCAGTTGCTGTTTGAAAAACTGGGTTTACTAACATATTTTAAAAACATACTAAATATTAATTAGAATAAACCATTGAAACTAATTTTATAGCAAATTGTAATATATAATAAGAAAGAGACATGTTAAGACTGCTAAAGAGACAGCTATCCTCCAAAGACCAGAAACACAAAGATGTGTACTACTGTAGCCTTTCAAAAATGAGTGAGACCAATACCTTACAGTAAACTGTTATTATCTTGGGATGGCAAAGTGTTAGATGATTGAAAAGAAAACCAACAACCTAGTCTATTCTATAACATGTGAAAAACACTTATTGTAGACAGTGACCAACAACAACCATTGTATTGATGGCTCTTTCTTGGGACAGGCACTAAAGAATGTGACTAGACTAAACATGTTTGTGGCACAGAATCCTTCCCTAATCTGATATAGTGAAAAACTGCACAACTTTAGAACAAACTAAAACTCGGTTTTAAAGGGCTTGACTCATTAGATAGGTGCTATTAATTACATTCTTTGAAAAAAGATTTATGATATGGGACTATATTTTCTTTTTAGGGTACTGACAAATCCTATATAACAAAGCAACATGAAGCTTTTGAGAGCCATCCTTGCTATATAAAAGGAGACAGGAGGATGTGGGAAGTAGAGTTTGGTATACAACATTATGCTGGTGCTGTTACATATAAAGTCCAGGGCTTCCTTGATAAAAACAAAGACACACAACAAGACATGCTGTTTGAAATGATGCATAATTCTGTTAATGTTTTTGTTCAAGATTTAACCAGATTTCAGGTATGATATTTATCTTTTGATACATTTTAAGTTTAGATACATATAGTGTTGTCATGCAAGTTTCTTTATGGAAAGATTAAAGTAAGAACGCCTATAAATTAAATCGTCTGTATAAAATTAATCGTACATTCGTACATTGCCGTAGCGGAGGGGGCATTAAGTTTTACTCTTGTCCGTCTGTACGTACGTACGTCCTTCCGTACATCCCAAAATTGGTTTCCGTTCTTTAACTTAGTTTGCCTAAACCAAATGTTATGAAACTTATACACAATGCTTATTACCAGATAACACAGATCAAGTTTGAATTTTGGTGGCGTCACTTTTACCGTTCTAGAGTTATGCCCCTTTACAAATGGAATTGCTGAATTTTTCGTTTCCGTTCTCTTTCTTTAGTTTGCCTCAACCAAATGTTTTGAAACTTATACACAATAATCATTACCACAAAACACTGGTCAAGTTTGAATTTTGGTGGCGTCACTTTCACCGTTCTAGAGTAATGCCCCTTTAAAAATGGAAAACTTGCTGAATTTTTCGTGTCCGTTCTCTAACTTTAGTTTGCCTCAACCAAATGTTATGAAACTTATACACAATGCTTGTTACCACAAAACACAGATCAAGTTTTAATTTTGGTTGCGTCACTTATACCATTCTAGAGTTATGCCCTTTACAAATGGAAAAATTGCTGAATTTTTGTTTCCATTCTCTAACTTTAGTTTGCCTCAACTAAATGTTATGAAACTTATACACAATGCTTATTACCACAAAACTCAGATCAAGTACAAATTTGGGTAGGGTCACTTTTACCGTTCTAGAGTTATGCCCCTTTAAAAATGGAAAAATTCCTGAAATATTTGTTTCTGTTCTCTAACTTTGGTTTGCCTCAACCAAATGTTATGAAACTTAAGCACAATGCTTATTACCACAAAACTCAGATCAAGTACAAATTTGGGTAGGGTCACTTTTACAGTTCTTGAGTTATACCCTTTATAATGTTATATGCAAGCGGGGGCATCATCTGTGTCCCATGGACACATTCCCCATTTATTTTAATTTATTTTTTCTCCCTTGTTTTATATGTATGAAAATATGTTAGTATTTGAAATCTGAATTTTTCAACAATACTTAGTTAATAAACAAAAAAAATCAATTAAGGCCAATGTGCAGAAAAACGAAAGATCAATATAATACAGTTGAATGGGACAATTAATTCTTGGCATCTAGTAGTGAAATATTTTTGGGCCCATTGCATTTGTGCCAATTTTTACATAATTCAATCTTTCATTTGCGCCACAAGGTTATATTTCATTTGCACCAAAAAATTCAAACAGTATTTCGGAGAAAAATACAGGAAAGTAGTCTGTTACAGTATTTGTTTTATGACCACATATATAGGTTATCTAATGTTCTGAAAAATGGAGACAAGTTGTTTAGATGTACAAAAAAACTTGCAAAGCCAGAAAAACAACACATATGGACAACAACAAAAAAAATAAAAACTTTGAACGAACACAACCATGGTAATCAGTGGAACTTTTCGGGGTATAGTGCATTCGTTATGGTTTTGAAATCACTTATTTCTGAGGAATATGTTTTATTATGCAAACAAAAACTGTGTTATAAAGTTATTAAAGTTATTATTAAAAGTTTCTTTTGAATAAATCTATTTTTAATTTATTTACCTGTATTTACCTGTATTATTGGGGCAAATGAAAAGTTTTATTTTTGGGGCAAATGAAATATGATTTGTGGTGCAAATGAAATTTTTTTGTTTGTTTTGAATTATTGACAGTTACTATTTACAAAGGTATACAAGTTTCCAAAGAGTACTAAAACATATACAACTATAAAAATAGGTTAAATTAAGATTATAGAAGTAGATGTTTTTATCAGAAAGTGAAGTATTTTTGTCTACTTTTATAGGATTTACTTGGAGTTAAATTAGAAGATATGGGAGGAAGACAAACTATTTCTAGGACAACCAGTAAAAAACCAACTGTTGGTGATACATTTAAACATCAGTTGAATGCTCTTGTTGATATTCTGACCACTACAAATCCTTGGTTAGTATTTTGCCATCGATGTTCCATGTTTGACATTGATATTAAACAATCAAATTACAAGATTTGGGACTTAAATGCATATTTAGGTTTTTTAACTCGCCTACGACGAAAGTCTCAGAATTTTGTCATAGAATGCTAAACTGGGATAACAATGTGGCGGATGGGTAAACTATTTGTATAAAGCTTAATATTTTTAGAAGGTAGAAGACCTGGATGCTTCATTCCTTGTATGCAGATACCATATGTTACAAAGTTTCCGTCTGTCATATGTCCATTGTCCTTTACCCCATTTTCATGATTCAGTGAATAAGTTTTTTTTAGTCATGTGAAATACTCATTTATTATGAGTAATAGGATAAATATAATGGTTATATGAATTCCTTGCAAGGTCTACATGTCAGTCAGACAGGGTTAACCTGACCTTGACCTCATTTTAGGGATCAGTGATCAATGCTATGTTTTCGTGGTCAAGTCTGTATCTCAGATACTATAAGCAATAGATCAGCTTAAGATGATATTTATATGGAATGATTGTAAGGTAAACATGTCCAATTGGCAGGTTTCATCTGACCTTGACCTCAATTTCATGGTTCATTGGACAATGTTTAGTCTTTGTGGTTTGGTCTTTTTCTCAGATACAATAAGCAATAGGGCATCTTTATTTGGTGTATGGAATGATTGTAAGATGTACATGTCAGACTGGCAGTTTCATATGACCTTGACCTCATTTTCATGGTTCATTGGTCAATGATAAATTTTCGTTGTTTTGTCTGATTATCATATACTATCAGCAAAAGGTCATCTATATTTGGTGTATGGAATGATTGTACAGTGTTCTGTCTGCCAGGGTTCATCTGACCTTGATCTCATTTTCATGGTTCATTGTCAGTGTTCTCCCCAGGATTTTTGGATAGCACCAGGGTAACGTGTGTGGACAGCTTGGTGAAATGATTCATACAACCAGTTGTGTCGCGTCGATCTGCTTAGCTATTTTTCTAGTTACTGCAGTATGTCTCTTGTTTTGCTTTAACACTGTGGTACTGTGTTATGTAGACATTGAGTCAGAAAATTATTGGTAAAAAAAGAAGTAAATCAATAAACAGTTTGTATACTTTAATATTTTTTTTAAATAAATAAAACATGATTCATTACAAAATATTCATCTAAATCTAAAGTAATCAAATCTTTTATAAAATCCATGATCAATAAAAAAAAAATATCATTGAAAGGAGACCAAAAATGTTCAATTTAAAAAAAACTTTATAGTTTCTAGAAAGAAAGTTGTTGTATGTGAAAGGATTCTTGTCATAAGGAGATATGAAATAACAAGAACAAATATTGATTTATTGTTTCAACCAGTTTCTATCTTAAATTTAAAAAAAAAGAAATTTTTCATAAATTTAAAAACATTTTGCCATAGATTTTATGTAAATATTAACCTTTCTTGTCTTTGGTGATAATCAAACATTGATACAGACTTAATACTGCACTAAAATCTAAATTTTTATTTGTCATGATCCATTTAAAAAGAATTCCTAAATCTATAAATTTATCTTAGGTCTATAAGTAACCATATTCAATGTCTACAACAAAGTCTCCCTATTTTTCCCGCCTAAATGACAGGAAGTAGATATAAATAGATTTAACATGTGCTTATGGATAAAATTTGCAAGATTACTTCTGTTATTCATTAATTGTGGATATAGATATCCAGTTTGAAGGTACAGTCATACATTTTATTTATTAAATAGAATAGATTGCAATTAATTGCAAATAAACTTTAATATTCTACGTGAACTAAGTGGGTCATGTGATCATGTAACAGCCACTATGTTCCGTCAGTTACTTTGTTCCGGTGGAACTTTTCAACTAGTTATTTCGTTCCGATGGAACTTTCCAACTAGTTGTTTTATTCCCGAGTGCAGTCGAAAAGTTCTGGAAAAAAGTAGCTAGTAGAAAAGTCCCCGAACAATGTAGCTAGTTGAATAGTTCTGGCGGAACAGAACAACTAGTTACATCGTTCCGAATATACCATATTTCGTCCTTTTTGTAGAAAGAGGGGGAAGAATGAGTATCAGTATATATAAGAGCAAATCATTAATTTACAAGAATACCCAACGCACTGAAAGGGGTTTCTTTGGGGACAAATATGCCAAGTGGAACTTTGTGACTGGTTGATAAGTTCCGTTGGAACTTTCGGGCTAGTTTGTTAGTTCCGGTTTTGACTTATTTGCCAAAGAGGAACTGTGTGGCTAGTTGATAAGTTCCATTTGACTTTTGTAATCAGTATCTTGGTTGCCCTTTGAAAGGTTCAAATATAATATGTTGCGCTTTTACTTTGCATCAATTCTCCAAATGGAACTTTCTGGCTGGTTGATAAGTTCAGTTGGAACTTTTGGACTAGTTTGTTAGTTCCGGTTTTGACTAATTTGGCAAAAAGGAACTTTCTAACTAGTTGGTATGTTCCGGTGGAACTTTTAAACCAAAGGAAGAACAAAGTAACTAGTTAATAAGTTCCTCCGGAACTTATCGGCTAGTTAGTTCTTTCCGCCCAGAACTTTCCATTTGCTAAACTTCTCACGGGGAAAAATGAAAGTTAAGAAAATCTGTAAACTGAGCAAAACTCTCTGACAGCAATCGTTTTAATTATAAAATGCAACATATGTTCATTTGATATTGAAATTGTACATTAAAAAATATTTTGAATGAAAGAAATCTATTTTGTTTTATTAGGTATGTGAGGTGCCTTAAATCTAACACAGACAAAAAAGCCAATGTATATAATGACAAAGAGGTCCTTACTCAGCTGAGCTATTCTGGAATGTTGGATATTATAAGGATCAAAAGAGAGGTAACTTTGATATTCAGTATATTTCAAATAAACAAACTCTTGTGTGCATAACATCTGTTATCTCTCACCACTCAACGGTATTTCTGTTCAATATAGAGAACATTATATTTGTTATATAGCATGATCAAAATACACATAAATACTGTAAATTCAGAAATTTGTGTAGTGTTTTCATAACTGCAAAAATTGCAACTGAATAGTCGCAAAAACAAAAACTTGCATTTTAACTTTTGATAGCAGCAAATTTCCTGAAATTACAATAATAGCCTAGCACATTGTTCAAGAGTGGCAGAAGATATCAAAGGGATAATCACACTCAAAAGTTGAAGAACTAAATGACAACGCCTCGGCAAAAAAAGCCAAAAGGAAAACAACAGAAAACTACAGACTGAGCAACAGGAACCCCATTTAAAGCCTGGGGTGATCTCAACAATCACAATAATAAATGCATATTAAAAATTTCTGAATATACAGGAAAGAAAAATAGATCTTGCTTGAAGCACACGTTGCAGGGGACAACAAAATGATATGCTTCAAGCAGGGGACATAGAAATACTGTCCGTCCGTCCAGTCTTATTAGCGCTCTCACATGTACAATTCTCGCCAGATTTTTATTAAACTTATATCATAGGTTAATACCAGCAATGTCTTGGACGAGTTGTGCAAATCAGTGCCGATTAATAATTTATAAAAAAGTTATGCCCCTTGGAAATATTGATTATATGGAAAATTGCTGTGTGAGCGCTCTTAATGTGTACAACTCTTGCCAGATTTTTATGGAATTTATATTATAGGTTTATATCAACAATGTTTTTTGACTTTTGACAACTTCAAAAATCAGTGCAGATTAATTATTTTTAAAAGAGTTATGCCTCTTGGAAATATTGATTATATTGAAAATTGCATTGTTAGTGCTCTCATGTGTACAATTCTTGACAATTTTATGAAATTTATATTATAGGTTTATATCATCAATGTGTCGGACAAATTCAAGAAACCAGTGCCGATCAATTATTTCTAAGAGAGTTATTTATGCATTTGGAAATATTGATCATATGGAAAATTGCCAGATTTTTATTAAACTTATAGCATAGGTTAATATCAGCAATGTCTTGGACGAGTTCGAAAATCAGTGCTGATTAATTATTTTTAAAAGATTTATGCCCCTTGGAAATATTGATTATATGAAAAATTGCTGTGTGAGGGCTCTAATGTGTACAATTGTTGCCAGATTTTTATGAAATTTATATTATAGGCTTATATCATCAATGTCTCGGTCAAATTCGAAAGTCAGTGCCAATCAATTATTTTTAAAACAGTTATGTCCCTTGGAAATATTAATTTGAACAGAAATTGCATTGAATTTGCTCTGAAGCCTTCATTGTCGAGCCTTCGACTTTTGTCAAAAAGCGAGACATAGCGATCCTACATTCCGTCAGTGTCGTCGGCAGCGGCGTCCACAAATATTCACTCTGTGGTCAAAGTTTTTGAAATTTTAATAACTTTCTTAAACTATCCAGGATTTCTACCAAACTTTGACAGAAGCTTGTTTATGATCATAAGATAGTATCCAGAAGTAAATTTTGTAAAAAAAAATTCCATTTTTTTCGTAATTTACCTCTATATGGACTTAGTTTTTCTGCCAGGAAACATTACATTCACTCTGTGGTTAAAGTTTTTAAAATTTTAATAACTTTCTTAAACTATCCTGGATTTCTACCAAACTAGGACAGAAGCTTGCATATGATCAAAAGCTAGTATCTAGAAGGAAATTTTGTTCCCGTTTTTCCGTATTTTACTTATAAATGGACTTAGTTTATCTTCCAGTTAACATTACATACAGTTTGCAGTTAAAGTTTTTAAAACATTTATTAGATTCATAAACTATCCTGGATTTTTACTAAACTTGGACAGAAGCTTCTTACAATCAAAAGATAGTATCGAGAGGAATATTTTAATTTTTTTTTTCCCTCATTTTTGTTGAGCCTACGATTAACAGCAAAAATCGGCGAGACACTGGGTTCGGCGGAACCCTTAGGAATTTTTTTTCTAAGATATTTATAAAAAGTTTTTTTTTAGTTATTGCCCTTGTACCTTGGATAGATAAAATATGTGCAACGCAGGGGACATTGGAACTCTGTTCTTTTATTATCAGTATTTTACCCTAAAATTACAAAACATTTTTTATAATTTCTTATTAAAGGTACAAATTCTCAAATCTAACATCAAATTAATTTTCCCCCCTTAAACTATATATATTGTTCCCTTGAACACAAATGAATCCACAGTATATTGTACAAAATTATAATTGCCCAATTTACCATATTTATGACAAGATGCAAATCTTAACTTTTTTTCCTTGCAATTCATGATGAAAATCTGAACCCTAAGATCATAAACATTCCATAGATTAATAATATAAAGATAAATTGAAAGACTCTTACCTAACCTTGATTTTTTTCTGATTGTATATTTTCATTTTAGGGATATCCTATCCATGTGCCTCATGAAAACTTCCTAGAGAAATACAAGTGTTTAACACCAAACTTGAATCCTGGAGATGAACCAAAAACTCTCTCAAAAAAAATATTAAGCTTATTAGATCTTCCAAAAACAGAATGGCAAGTTGGAAAAAATAAGGTAAGAATAATCTGAATGTACAAGATCTTTGTAAAGAGAAATGCTATATTTGATAGATATATAAATAGATGTTGTTGTGTCATTTGTGCTACATAAGTATCATTATACATCGTTTAAGTTCCATCTATGAACATCATACATTTGGTATTAACATTCCTGATAAAACTCAGACTCTTCTACAGCCAGTGCAGTAGAATATTTTATGAATGGCTTATTTTTGGGTTTATACTGATTTCTGATGTTTCATACAGCACGTACAGCCAATCATAAATTTTCATTCAGTTACGTGGACCCACATCTCTTATCCACAATTCCACCTGTATCACTGTACAAACAACATAAACATTTAAAATGTTCTTTTGAAGAAACTTAAGTTGTACAGTTTCTATTCCATTTTTGAATCTGATGTCAAAATATGGAGTCAATATGGATAATATAATGGGAACTGAAGGGCATATTTCTTCTTTCCAGCAGCTCAACAACCACTTAACAGAAATGAACCATTCACACAATCTTTTACAAAAAATAAGTTATGCATTTCATAACTTTTATTAGAGCACTTTGTATTCTGCTATTTTCCAATCAGCAGTTAAGTTGAGTGGGAGATTCTTTTTTATTCCCACTGACCTCATCTCTGAAATGTAAAAAAAAATTATCTGCATAGTAGTGTTTTCCTTTAAATTAAATGTTGTTTTAGACAAAACCAGAAAAGATAACACATTAACTAATAGATATGTTACTTTTATGTTACTTTTATTATTCTTCCCTTATTCTTCCCTTAGTTTATTTATTTTGTATTTACATTGTATCATAGATCAATTTTATTTGTTCAGTGTATGTTCATTGGTGTAAATATGTCTTTTGATTGAGTTAAGCCATTTCAATTGATATTTTATAGTGTGTCTTTCTATGTTGTGAAGTTACACTATTGTTTCAGATAAGGGTGAAGGTTTGGTACCATTAAAACGTTTAAACCCGCTGCAATTGTTTGCACCTGTCCTAAGTCAGGAATCTGATGTTCAGTAGTTGTCGTTTGTTGATGTGGTTCATAAGTGTTTCTCGTTTCTCGTTTTTTATATAGATTAGACTGTTGGTTTACCCATTTGAATGGTTTTACACTAGTAATTTTGGGGCCTTTTATAGCTTGCTGTTCGGTGTGAGCCAAGGCTCCATGTTGAAGACCGTACTTTGACCTATAATGGTTTACTTTTATAAATTTTGACTTTGATGTAGAGTTGTCTCATTGGCACTCATACCAAATCTTCTTATATCTATGTGTTCTAAAATTTTAAAAATCTAGCAGGTGATCAGGATAGTTTATGCAAATAATTTGATGGAGCAAAACCTTTGTAAATAGTCCATTACTATAAGCTTTTTTTGTTTGTTTTAGGGATATTTACAAATGACATTTTACCACATTGTTTGATTTTTTTTACTGTTTCCTATGGTATAATAAACTAAACACTGGGTAAATAGAAATAAATTAATACAAATTTACGTTTTGATTGAATCTTATTATTGTCTTTTTCCAATAAAAAAATTGTATGTACAGAAATCACTAATACATGTAATAAAGTTGGAATACAAAGTAAAGTTATACATAATTGCACTCCCAATACAAACTTTTTAGATTAAAAATGTAAAAACCAACAGATTAAAAAACCTGGCCTGAAAATAATATTTATCTTGATATAAGGATTTAAGTTCTTATATCAGACATGATTAACTGTAAATAATTGTGATTTATTGCTATTTTGTGTATTTTTCCTCTGGTCTTTTTTTGGGATAATTTTTCATATCATGCTACTCGCTTGAGATAGAAAATTATTGTTAGAAACTAAGGGCACACGTGACGTTGTCAATGTAAACATCAATGATGTCATAGGCAAAATAGCGATAAACAGATTATCAATGGTCTTTCAAACTCGAGGCTGTTGCCCTTCCATGAGATTGTAGCTGAGAAACACCCTCTTGTTTTGAAAACCATCAATAATCTATAAATACAGGGTATCTAATATTTCACACAGAAATAAAGTATAGATCAAAGGTACAACCACCAAATTGAAAAGACAAAAACAAAAAATACCAAAATTAAAAAAATTAAACTACGGAGAGAACAGAGGTCTCAATATTTCAATAAAAAAGTTCTTTGTAACAATATGCCACAATACATATAGCCAGGTTAACCTTAGGTTTTAAGTAGCCTTTGTTTTATAGTTATATCATATGATCACATATAGACGGCCAGTTGAAAGAAGAAAATACAGAAGGAAAACTTCGATTTTCTGTCATCTGTTAAGACAATATTTAAATGGAATCTTGATGTTTGCAGGAAACAAAAAGTTATTTTTTATTAAACCTAAATGTGCTATCATACATAAATGATGATTTTCAGATTTTCATGAGGAACTCAGTATTTGAACCACTGGAAGAGAGAAGATTTGTTTTCGTGACACAAAAAGCTATCCTTATCCAGAGGAGATGGAAGGGATTTGCTTGTAGACATAGTAAGTATCACACTTTGATTCTTCAAGAGGTGAATTTTAGTGTAAAAGCAAACCATTTTTATTTTGAATCCATATTGATTTATATGGGATTATCTTTCTATGTTTAATTTTTGAATTAATTTTATTTGTTTTAAACCAAGACTTATGCAAGTGATAACTTACTTTCTTGACTGATAATAATTGCAGAATTCCTAAGAATGAGAGAAGCAGTAATGATATTACAAGCATACTTCAGAGCCTGCAGATCTAGGTTACTGTTTAAGAGACAGAGAAGATCTGCTGTTGTTATACAGGTATGTGTTTAAGGCAAAATCTCTGAGGTTTTAATTTCTGTATTAACTTGTAAGTTCTAGAGTGAATTTGAATGTTAATTTGTTGGATAAGATAAATTAAAGAAATTATTAAACTTATTATGCTAATTACACACGGATGGATATTCCATATTTTTTTTTAGTCCTTTTACAGATGAATGAATACCTATATCACATTTTTCTTAAAGTAAACATATATTGCCTTTTCTTTTCTTAAGCGTCATGTAAGAGGATTCCTTGCAAGAAAGTTGGCTGCTCGTTTGAAAGAACAGAAGAGGAAAGAAGAAGAACGAAAACGAAAAGAAGAAATGGAAAGAGAAAAACGAGATAGGGAGAAAGAAGCTGCAGATAATGAAGCTATTGAAAATATGATCAAGTTAGTATTGCATCATCTTTTATTTGATTTGTCATTGAGATCATTCCATGCTTTTATCAGCTTATTCATTTCACATTAAAGTACTCATTTAAATTTCAATTCAACTAGTTTCTATAATAAGTACCAAGGTGTTGATTCAAATGATATAGATTTCAATTTTTTTTAATGTAATTTAGATTTTACATATTTTGAAAATGCTACATATATACACAAAATTAAAGAAAGTAGAGTTTATTTTGATATAAATCATTATATAGTTTCAGTAATTTGACCAGATCAGAATTAATCAGACAACTAAAGTATGTTAAAAATGTGTTGTGTTTTCGTGTGATGTTGTGTGTCTAATATATGTTTCTTTTTGTTTACTGTATATCATTTAAAAAAATGAAAAAAAGATTTGTTCCCTTAATTTTTTCATTCTTGCTCGTCATGTAAAATGCCTGGTTAACAAAATTTGATGGCATAGTTGTGTAAGGTTCAATGGAAGAAGGTTCCTTAAGTTATAAAGCTTTTAGACATTAATTTGCAAATAAAGCTTTCTTTTCATAATGAAAAAAAAAATGTTTTGTTTGTATTGAAGTCAATATTTACACAAAACACACAAAAAAATGCTGAATTTAGAACTTGACCTATTTGATACACGTATAGTTGTATTTAGTTTCTTTTTGTTGTTACATTTTGTCTTTAAGTGACATTTTTTTGCTGTCTTGCTTCAGTTATCTTCCATTACACATTAATACTAAAATTAAAGAAAACAGAACAAGAATTTACAGCTTTCATATCCATTCACCTTCACAGTATTGACTACTAAGAAATATCCTTAATTTTCTTATCATATGTATTGGAACCTGTTTTAGGAAAATATTGTCACTGTGTTTAGTATACTATATATTTAGCTTAATTGTAATGGATGTTATCTTGCATAAGTAATCTACAAATTTTATATACTTATCAGTGGGCCATTCAACAAGATGAGACTCATGGTCAATTCCTAATCTTACCAAAAATCATAATTTATCAATTCAATTCTGTTTTCAGGAATCCAAGGTATTGTGGTTTGTTCAGATATATTAAAAATCATGTAAAAGATTATTTCATAGATATCCTTTGCACGAATATTTTTTATTCTAAAATTTCATTTCTTTGAAAGATTTTATGGTCATTACAGATTTCATTTTTTCCTTATCACTTTCACTATCATATCACTATTAACATAATCATAATCATGATTCAGAAAATATTCATATGCATAAATGATTACATAAACACTTCACGTAATTTCATATGTAAAAGTAGTATGAAAATAGATTTATGCATTTTATTTATCATATATTGTATTTACTTGTGTTCAAGTCAGCAGCTTTGGAATTAAAATATTTTTGGTGTAAGGTAAAATCAAGTATTTAAAAGAAAATGAATAAAATGTGTGGGTATAACATCAATAAGATAAGCAACCCAACAACCCAAAAAAACCATCTTGTGTGAACAAAAATCTTCCAACAATAATGTCTATTCTATATGTCAAGCTTTAATCAATCCCCCACCCCTTCACAAGACCTGCCATCAACACTAAATTCTGAAGAGTATAAAAAAAACACTACTTGTAATATAATCTAGACAAAAACTGATGAGATTTCTGATTATTGACAGGCACGTTACCATTTATTTTCTTTTTTGTGGGATGTATATCTATTTTGTATAATCAACTCCTCCTACAGTTTTCAACCCAGATCCCTGAAACTGCATGAAAGATTGCACACATATTGAAATTATGCCACTACTTTATGAAATTGTTTGTGACTGAAGGCAGCTATGGAAGCAAGAAATATTATTTTAAATATACTGTGGATTTATTTTTATTCGTTGTATACCAATTTTCGTGGGTTTCGTGGGTCACAGCAAACCACAAATTTAAGAATTCAACAAAGAATAATCCCGAGAAATGTGTATTCAATCAGATGTTTAGGTGTAATACCACCAAATCATAGTACGTCACATCCGGTTGCATACGAAAAAGGGTCGAAAAAAATATTCCCTTGAATTTGACAGTTGTAGGAAAGTAATCCTACATTTCATTGCAGTAAAAAAATTCTGGGTCATAAACATATATCTTGGGCGTTTCAAAGCAACATTATTTTTTTATTTGGTGTTTCTATAGAATATTTTGGAAACTTGAGGTTACATGGTTACTAAAGCTTGTACACAGGTAATAAAAAGGTGAAAATTTGATTGGTTATTTTCTTATATGCAATAAAATGTTATGTGAAATTTTGTCTATAATACTGTACAGGATAAAACTTTACTCATGCCAAGTATTTCTTTATTTGAAACAAAGATAAATTCTGCACAATTTTTTGAAAAGTGCAAATTTAACAAAGACAAATAGGGGAAAATCAATGGTGGTATTACACCTTTATTTCTGGTTGTATTGTGTAATTCTATTATAGTGTTGACTTGTGATAAACATTGTAACACAAAACATGTATTTGAAATAAAATATAAAAGTATCTTGATTGATATTTGAACACATAGAACTGCAAGCCTCATTATGTGTTCTTACGGGAATATATTGTATACAACAAAAATATTATTTAATGGACTTAGAAGATACAGACTTTTTTAACTCTCCACTGGACTGATTTTTAATAACTTGTCTGTTGCATCCTTCTGTCATTACTGGTTTTAACAATAATCATTCTTTAGAATCATACTAAAACAAATGTTGATGATACTTATGTATCAATAATTCAGTTCAGAAACAGTATATTGGAAAATTCTCATTAATGGAATGACTGCAAAAATGAAGGGACAAAAAAGGCTAATTATGTTAATATTATAGTGCTGCTTGCTTTTCTTGTAAACTTTGTGTTACTACATGTTTATCATTATTTTTTATAAATTTTCCTTTGATCTTTCTGTTTGAGAATTTTCCATCACAAGCTACTTTACTGAGATCGTTGTTTTTCAGCTAAGTAGAGTAAGAATGCGATGCAGTCAAAAGCTTAAGTCATTGATGTTAACCAGGTTATCTATGGTCTTTCAAACTGGAGAAAATTTCTCTGATGCATTTCATATCTCTTTTGCCCTTGATGAGATTGTAGCAGAGATTTTCCCTCATGTTTTTAGAACCTTAGCTAATCTATAAGTTTATGGACTGTTGTGTCATGTACCTTTCCTGTTTTGGAGAGAATCTGTATTTTTTAGCTCACCTGGCCCAAAGGGCCAAGTGAGCTTTTCTCATCACTTGGCGTCCGTCATCCGTTAAACTTTTACAAAAATCTTCTCCTCTGAAACTACTAGGCCAAATTTAACCAAACTTGGCCATAATCATCATTGGGGTATCTAGTTTAAAAAAAGTGTCCGGTGACCCGGCCAACCAACCAAGATGGCCACCATGGCTAAAAATAGAACATAGGGGTAAAATGTAGATTTTGGCTTATATCTCTGAAACAAAAGCATTTAGAGCAAATCTGACATGGGGGTAAAATTGTTTATCAGGTCAAGATCTATCTACCCTGAAATTTTCAGATGAATCGGACAACCCGTTGTTGGGTTGCTGCCCCTGAATTGTTAATTTTAAGGAAATTTTGCCTTTTTTGGTTATTATCTTGAATATTATTATAGATAGAGATAAACTGTAAACCCCTTAAGGAGTTATTGCCCTTTATAGTCAATTTTTAACCATTTTTCGTAATTTTTTGTAATCTTTTAAAAAAATCTTCTCCTATTAACTACTGGTCCAAATAGAATCAAACTTAGCCACAATCATCATTAGGGTATTCAGTTTAAAAAATGTGTCTGATGACCCTGCCTGCCAACAAAGATGGCCGACATGGCAAAAAATAGAACATATGGGGTAAAATGCAAGTTTTGTCTATTATTCTGATAACCGTTATAAAAAGAGGAAATCTGAAGCGGGTAAAATTGTTCAGAATGTTGAGCTCTACCAATTATCCATATACATCAAAACTGTAAGACAATTTCCTGTAGGAGTTATTGCCCTTAAATGACAAATTTTACCACTTTTTTTCGATTTTTGCCTATTATCATATCTTGAAAACTATAAAAGATAGAGAGAAAATTTAAATTGCAAAAATGATCAGAAGGACAAGTTCTTCAAAAAAGTCTTATGGTTGAAATCATCAGTTGACTCCTTATTAGAGTTATTTCCCTTTGAAGCCGATTTGTACAAATTTTTGGGCATTTTTGTCTTATATCTTATAACTTATAATAGATAGAAAGAAACTTAAATATACAAAAATGATCAGCAAGACAAAATCTACAATTAAGACAAATGGCAGAAATTGTCCAACGACTCCTTATTGGAGTTATTGCCCTTTAATTATGATTTTTACCATTTTTTTGGCGTTTTTCCTTGTATGATATTAATTATAATAGATAGATAGAAACTTAAATAATCAAAAATGATAAGCAAGACAAGACCTACTAACAAATCAAATTTTGCTGATATAATAAGTAGACTGTTACTCTTTATAGGAGTTTTTTTACCCTCTTTTGTGTTTAGAGCAAAGGCTAAAAAAGATCATGAAGATAGAGAGAAACTAAACAGACTTCAATGATCAGCAATATAAGATACTAAAAAACCCAGAGATTTTTGTCATTAATTCTATTCTCGTCTACAATGTTGGAGAGTGTCCCCTGTTGAATATGCATATAGACACAGGCTCTTGAGAGCCTCTAGTTTATACTCCTGGTCAACAGGGTCAGTTGGAAGGAGGGGGGTATATAGAAATCCTCAAGTCTGTCACACTTACGGATTCCAGATGAAAGAAAAAGAAAGGCTTTTGGAAATTAATTGAAAATTTAATGGAATGTTTTAGACCGCTACAGACATGTTAAGTTTTGATTTTCCTCTATTTCACTCTTATCGTTTCAGAGTTATGGTACTTGACTGTTGGAAAAAAAAATTAATTTTGTGGTCTCTATATAAAAAATGGAGAGCCATTTTAAGAAATTGATCAAAATTTTTATGGAATTTTTGGTCTGCTAAACACAGATTCAGTTTGATTTCATCATTTTCATTTCATCCCCGAGTTATTGATTGTTGGAAAAATTCCAAATTTTGTGGTTTTAGGATGATAAGCTTGATTTTTTGTCATTTTCACTTTGACCATTCCAGAATTAATGTACTTGAAAAAAATCATAATTTTGTGGTTTCTTGAAAATAAACGGAGCACACTGTTGAAAATTGCGGAGAAATTGATATTGAAATTTTGATAAATGACTTGGACCACTTATAATAACAACATAAAAATAATTGTTTCTGGAACCACAGTTT